CTAAAGCCATGATCTTGTAACTTGACTAATGGTATATGCAATAAATATTGAAATATGACTTTTTAGCAACATGGAAATAGGGGGCTGGAGTGTTTAGCTACTTCCTAAATACTCTAGATTTATCTCCCTAAGTATTTATCTGTAAGTGATCATCCGGGGCTTACAGTACAGCTGTGAGGGCTATATGGCTCTGGCTTTAGCTCAGTATGAGAACCTTTTCTAGCTCGTTAGTGGTTACCTTTATGGCGTAAGAGGGGCTCCGACAGGTATAATCTCAGCCTGCCAAGAGGGTGCACTTTGGTTTCTTGGTATCTTATTAGTCACTCCTTGGAGAGGGATTCATGCTTATTGATGGAAAAACCTTAGCAGCCCTAACTTGTTAGACGAACCTTTGAAAGGTTTCATAGTGAACCCTGTCGACCTTCCTTGGTAGTGGGTTAAGAGACTCGCGACCTCGGGCGAAAGGCTAAATCACGACTCACAGTGAAAGTGTACAACCTCTGAAGAGTGTAAAACTGGTATATCAGCCGTGCTCACGGTCACGAACGGCCTTGGAACCCTTACGGAATAGATGACCATTAATACTTAATGATGATGAACACTGATGATACTGATAATAAGATGCCCATTAATGGTTAATTGTTTATGCTATTCATTATTCATGTTTACCTAATCATGTGTTTATATGGGTTTGTGAATAAACTTGTTGCTACTCCTATGCTAAAATTATGACCATTAAAAGCTAATCACAGTTAAACCAATGTCAGCCTTTTAAGTCTTATGAACCCCATGTTATATTTGTTGAGTACGACATGTACTTACGTTTGCTTTACTTTTTAAATCTTTGGAAAAATCCCGGATGGTTATCAGATTGCTAGAGTTTTGAGGAATTAGGCTTGTGATCAATCAGTCAGTTGTCCCTGTAAAATTGGAGTCTTCACCCGAAGATCGGAGTTGTCTTTCCGCTGTTTGTTGTATAAGGTTATATTCTTTATACTAAGTACGTTATATATTAAGCATTGTCTTTTGATATTACCTTTATTTGTAGCTATATGTGAGATTTGACTTTCTGGGCTCACATATAGTGTGTATCTGATTTTGTTCTTAAAACCGGGTGCTACAGGGGAGCTGATGGCCCTTCAATGTCCAAACTTCAGTAATCTTAATGGTCACCATGCTAGAAAATAAGCACGACCCAATTTGCTTGTATCTGGCATCATACCTCTTGTAGTTTTAAAATTAAAATTCTACATTGCACCTATTCTATTAACATCTGGCCTGTTCGCTTGGTCGTAAACGATCGTAAATTTCCAGCCAGAACAGTATTTTTCTCTCATACCAAACCAGCCAGCAGTAATAATCCACGATCGTATACGATCATATCAGCACTAGCTAAACAGGCTGGATTATCAGTGGTAGACTACAACAGTATACGCCCAAGCATTCTCCATGTCAGGAAATGGTCTCGTGTTGCTACCACCACAACCGTTGATGTTTTCATCGAAAGGCAAATATGCCTCTAACAGGACACCAAGAACTCACACACAAGAAACACACACACGAGCACAAGTGGTTTTGGTGGCCGGAAAGACTTAGCCTTTTCTGTTTTTCTCTTCTACTGGGAATTCTTCACGTCCGAACGACCGGACGGAAGACGCTCACCGAACAACGCTCCCTCCTATTTTTATGGGCTTTTTATTATTTCTTCTGGCCCAATAACAATACACCGCTGGAGGGAGGTTCAAAAGAGTTACGTGTCCACATCTCCACGGGACCTTTTCATTTTTCATTTTTTTCTTTTTTCTTTTCTTTTTTCTTTTTTTTTTATTTCTTTTTTCCGCATCAAATTATTTTTTTGTTTTATGTGATTTTTTATTATTCTTTTCATTCCCTATATTTTTATCTTTCTTATATTTTTTTCTTTTTTTCTTATTCTTTTTTATTTCTGTGCTTCAATTTATTTAATTAATTTTGTTTTAAGTGAATTATTATTATTCTTTTCATTTTTTATATTCTTTATTTTTCTTTTATTTCTTTTTTACTTTTACTATAATTAATTAATTTGTTTGTTTTTATTTTATTTTTGTTTTGTGTTTTGTTCTTTTTTGTTTTTTCTTTCTTTTCCCTTTTTCTCTTTTGCCTTTATGTTTTTCATAGGTTTTTTACTTTCTTTTTTCTATTTTATTCTAATTAATTATCTTATTTTTTATGTTTACTTTTTAATTTTTCTGTATTCCATGAGATTTTATAATGTTCATGTAGTATACAATAATGTTTTATGATGTATTTTGTGATGTTCACGTAGTATACATGTGATGTTCTATAATGTATTTTATAATGTTGATGTCGTATATATGTGATGTTCTATAATGTATTTTTGTGATGTTCATGTACTATACATGTGATACTCTATGATATTTTTTGTGATGTTCACATGGTTATACATGTGATGTTCTATGATATATTTTATGATGTTCAATGATATATTTTGTGATGTTCACGTAGCATACATGTGATGTTCTATGATGTATTTTTTTATGTTCACGTGGTATACATGTGATGTTCTATGATGTATTTTTATGATGCTCACGTAGTATACATGTGATGTTCTATGATATTTTTTTGATGCTCGCGTGGTATATATATGTGATGGTTTATGATGTATCCTATGATTTTTATGTAGTATACATGTGATGTCTTATGATGTATCTTTGTGATCTTCATGTGGTATACATGTGATATTATATGATGTATTTTTTGTGATGGTCTGATATGGTTTATAATAGTATAAATATTTCATAATTGAGACAAATCATGTATATTTTTAGTGGTGAGAAAATATTCACATGGCCTATTAGATGTTTTGTGGTATATTTTAGGTTGTTCAAGTAAGCATGTTGTTCTCTTTATTTTTCCTCTTTTTACGTGGACTTTTTTTCCTTTCTATTATTTTTGTCTTCCCTTATGCCTTGTTCTATCTTTTATTATTTTTTCTATTTTTGATATGTTAAGTTATTTATCTATTTCTATATATTTCATAGATTTTCTCATTCATTTTCCTTCTATTTTCACATATATTATAATACCATTCACATGAACATATATTGTTTTTATCCTAAATGTAAAATATTATTCTCCTTATCTTAGAACATTTGTTTTATAATGACGGGACATTTTATCATGGACCTAGAACATCGTTGTACTCAATAAAAAGAATTGTTCTATTTTCATGAGATAAATATTCGTCGATAAAACTTTATCTAAATGTATCCGTGTGAGATCTTGTTTTGAAGAGTTTATTGTAAGAAATACAATGGTGCAATCGGATTTTAATTTCGATACTTGGCTTAGCAGCTATAACACTTTGGTTACTTCAAAAAAGCATTGGAAGCAGTTTTGGATTTTTATGCATGCCATGTTGCCAGCGAAACAGCCCACCAAACAAACGGCCCACTGACCAAAAAGTCTGCTCGCGCTGCAAGCATCGCGTATATTATTTGCCGGCCGGCGCGAGGATACGGTCCGTTCGCACGGACCCTAGCAGCGCCCCTGTGATAGCCTCCTAATTAATGCAGAATATAACCCAACTAATCAGCCTATTACTCCATGCTGGAATTTAGCTAAAGTAAATGCTATGAACCTGGACACAGGATTATTTCCAACATTCATCACTCTACTGTTGTTTGAATCCTTTGCAGTTCTTGAATTTCTACAGCTGCTGGTTTACTGGACGACCATTTGTGGCAAAGTGTATTTGGCTTGTCACTCTGTCAGAGAGCAGCAAGCACTGAACAGTGAAGAGACTCCTAGCAATATTCAGCCTGTTCGCTTGCTCGTAAACGATCGTAAATTTCCAGCCGGAAACAGTATTTTTCTCTCACACCAAACCAGCCAGCAGTAAATAATCCACGATACGATACGGCCTCCCGAACAGGCTGATTATTATAGGATCGGTGCATCCATCTCAAACAAATATTACTACTGGTTTGGTCAAGAAAATGAATGCAACTGGCAAAACAAGCTTCGGATGTACTCGTTATTTGAATCAGAGCGCTACAATCCCAGTCGATCCTATTTCAGTACGTTCTCCCATGTAAAACCTTGGACTGGGAAACTGATAGAGTTGCCTGCAGAAGTGAAGGAGGCACTGCTCCAGTCCCTTGAACGTACTCAAGGTTTCCTTACAAATGCGGAATCATCACTGCTGTCCAGTGGAGCAGGTGACCTTTTGTGGGCTTGCAGGCATGACGAGATGAAGCTAGAATCTGGCACAAGCAGCGCCCAGGAAAGGGACAATAATCTGCAGGTGCATGTTATTTTGACTTGGCACGTTGCAACAGGTTACTGTGAAATAGGAGCAAATGCCCAAGGAAAACTCAACAGCCATCTTGACATTATTCTGACAAAGCTTTTTTCAGAGTTCTGGCAATTGCTAGCTTCACTTCGATGGTCAACTGAATGTGGTATGGCCCCTTGATGCATGAGTTTAAGATCCCTCTTGAGAATACCGGATGGAACTCAAGACACTTACCAAAGAAACACCCAGACATGCCTCCCATGATATCAGCGATGTATGATCGGCCATGCAAATCCTTTAGTAATGCGTGCTGGCCAACCTTATTTTGCCAATATCCCAATATCTTGGGAAGCTTATTGCAATGCCAATCAAGTCCAAGAAAAATGAAGAGGCCAAACATTCCAAAACAAGTGTCTGCCCCAAAGATGGACCAGATGGACCAGCGCTGTCTTATTTGTTCTGAGAAAAAAATATATAGACCGGCGAACAAGCTTTACCTTAGCCCAATCAGATGACAAAAAAAGATAGAGCTGCAGCAGCTCCAGTGCTATAAGCACTACCATTACTACTAGTGCAGTAACGATGGGGTCAAATCCTCCTCCGATTACGTCCCCGTTGAGTCACTGCTCTTGTTTTTTACTGTGGATGAAGTCCTTGATCGAACTCAGTATTGTGACAGGATATATAACAGATTTAGCAATGCTCAGTAGAATGAAGCGCAGCTGGTGAAGAAGTGATCATGTGCAAAAGCCAGCTCTGCCTCAATCACCCTATTTGCAGCTTGATAGTTTTCCTCTGCACGTAGCAATCCTTTGAAAACAAGGTGACAAGTTTTCTTAATCTTGGCTTTGGCTTCTGGACAAGCAAGCCCAAAGAAACGGCGCCTCAACGGCCGAAACAAGGAAAACGAAAGGCATGCCTCCTTCAGCTGTTGGCCATCACTTGTGCCTAATGGGCCTTCATTAGAGCACCAGATCCTGTCTAGCGTAATTATTGTGTCTTCGTGGTCATAATAGTCCTCGTAGAATGGGTATTTGTAACCATGCAGGGTAACAGGATTATAGTTGGTTGATTTCGTGTGCTCACTCTTCATGTGAAGTTGAACATATCTGCTTTGTTTGTCCAGGAAACTGCTCGCAGTCATGCTTGCGTAAATCCTACCCCCATTCACTGAGAGCAACAAAGCAGTCAAGAATAGATACAAGAGGGGCACAAGGAAACTGGAGCTTGTAAGAATCGTTTCGTTAGCTCTCCACATGGCGAAGAGGCTGAGCACACGAAGAAGCTGCTGGATGAAGTGCCTCATGTACTGCTTGTTGTCGTCAACACTGTAGGCTGTCATGGAGTTGGTGCTCCCCAGGGCCATGACGAACGGAAAAGCACACGCTGAAGCAACTGGCTCGCGGCAGAAGGCGGAGACGACCGTGCAAGCCCAAGAGTATAGATCACAAGAGGGGTGTTGATGGTGTAGGCCAGCCAGAGCGAGTGCTTGATGTATGCATTTGTAGAGCACCGCCGCCGCCAGCCCAAGACGACCTGAACCGCGTGCAGGAGAACCGATAGCACGAAGAACACTTGAAGCTGAGTGATGATGCCTCTTTATGTGTGTAACCAAGAGGTGAAATCTTCAGCACCTGTTGACCCGTTCACTTTCGATTCACTTATTAGGTTCAAGACGTCTGATGTATCCACGGTCTGCTCAACGGCTCGACGCCCAGTCATTCTTGAAGGACAGACCAGCACAATTTCGTTTCGCCTAATAGCAACTAGCCTTCAATAAAGAGTGGTGACACCGTGCCCTTGTAATGTCTGTGGAGAATTGAAGCAAACATGTCAAAAGAAACAGGAATTGAGAATGAGGTCGTCTCAGCTAACAAGTACATGTTCGAACGTGATCTCAGCCAACATGTTAACTTGGTACACAAGTAATAAATCCACAAAAACTAGTGCCTAATATACTAGGCAAGTCTTTTTTGGATCGGCCCCGGATCCACAGTACTATAAATAAGAGGGAGCTCGCCTCAAACAAATACTTACGCACATCAAACCCAGAACCAATCTATTAGGCACCGTACCGGAGGGTTTCAGAAGCACGATATGCACGTCCAGGTTCCATTCAGATATCGATAACAAAAATATATATACTTAACGATGTCCCCTTGATCATTCAGACATACCAGTTACCCTGTTCTTGTGCTGTCTTCAGGAGTTCATGTGCTTCCTTCACAAGAGAAGTAAGAGACCTCGCAGGCTTGATCACCTCACATTCATTCCCAGCAAAGAGCATGCAGTCATCAACCTCCGACATGGTTTCCAATGCCTCGGCCAGTGTTCCCTTGAAATTGTGTTCATTGAAATGTGCGTTGCAGCTGGGTTCCACTTCAATCATGACTATAACCACCTGGCAGGTAAGCTTCACTATCCTCAAACACTGAGCCGTGCTCTGTTTGTTTACTTGTAATATTTCCTTGAGCTTCTTTGCCACTGCTCCATCTCGAGGGGTGGCACAAGCAAAATCTTCTTTACTGATCATATTTTCGTATCACCACGGCGAGGGATAACATGGCTGCCATAATTTTTCTTTCTTCAGATTGCTTTTCATTTTCCTGAATGGGAGGCTGTACACTGTCAGTGTCTGCATCTTCTTGGGGCTGGTTTTCTACGACAATCTCTACCGCATCTGCAGTTGTTCCCATTTTACTAGATAGTATTTTATGGAGAACCTGCAAGAAACATAATTTAATACAAATGATCAGCAATACTACGATCGTATCATACATGATACAGATTGATGCAATTCATCCCTAGTGAAACAAGCATGACATTTTATCTGTACGTAAATTATTGAGAGGAGTTAATGGATTATTTGAACAAATTAAGATGACCCTTGTAGTTTCGTATGCATACTACTATTACTAACTAGAAGTCCTAACAGAGCCTCTATGTTAATTCTCACCAAAAGCGGCTAGAAATTATTGCAATAATAAAATACATCTGGTCTTTAATTTAGTACGATCTAATCATCATCGCCAATGATAGCCATTACATCTATTCTGTTTTATAAAAAATACTCACATTTACCATATGAAAAATACATTAAGTAAAACCCGAATTTGTATCAAAATTACCCTCCTCTGCTATTATGAAAGATAATTCAAGAACACTCTAAATTTGTATATAAATTACCCATCTATGTCATAACCCTCTAGATTTTCATCTAAATTGCCTACACCTGCCATTATGAAATATAATTCAAAATAAACCCCTAATATATACTACTAATATACTAATGATACCAACGAAGTGTTTAAAACAATATTAATAGCCATAGAAATTTAGATCTATTTTTACATTTTAACTAAAATATTTGACATATCTTTATTGATGTTATAACTATTACTGCACATATAATTCCTTCATAAGAAAATTCAAACATCTGGAGAAGTGGAGAGGTTAATGCGGACTACAGGTGGCTATAATCTTCTTGGCATTTGAGATTTCTTTGGAATAACAAGTCATTATAAGACTTAAATTAATATCCTCTTAATTTTAGCACTGCAACATTATTCTAAATCTCACTTCAAGCTCTACCACTAATCTTGAGCAATGTTATACCATCTTAGTACTCAAGAGTGTAATCTATGATCTAAAACCTTATTTTAAAAAATACTAAAGAACATAATAAAAGATACAATAAGGATACAAGTATTAACTTAACTTGAGGATAAAAAATATGTATAGATTAAATTTGATAATTAAAATTTAAATTCATGATGTCATAAGATATGTGCTGAAATAAGAGCCACCGTTATTTAAGTTAAGGTTATAACTAAATTCATGCTCAGAGGTGCCGTGTAAAATAAAAAAAAATAGATATAGATGAAAAAATATTGATTAGGAATTGATAAGTTTATCATAACTAGTTAGAGAGTACAAATTATCTATTATGTCTTGTGTTAGAAAATGACAGAAGAGACAAAACATGCAGATTAATACAAGTATTTTTAATTAGTCAGAGGTATTAAAAAATGGCATCTTATGTTTATATCTCCTAAGATTCTACCGGCCGTGCGAGAGTATGATTTCATGAACTAGTGTAGAGTATCTGATGCCAATATCAGGTAGCAGCTTAAATGGTTATCGATGACCAAATTTCCTAGAAAACAACCTATATCACATAGTACTCCCTCCATTCCAATTTATAAATCATTTTAACTTTCTACATATATAGATTTTATTATGTACCTAGACATAATCTATATCTAGATACATAACAAAAATCTATGAACTCAGAAAACCCAAAACGACCTATAATTTAGAACGGGTGGATTTATCTTAGTAAAATTGTGTATGTTTGGGATCGGAAGGGATACTAATGTAGACCCAAACACACTAAATGCGTATCAGCGTATGAACTGTGGGGGAAAGTATTTGGAACCTACAGAAATAATATGCTTAAGTGACATCTCAGAAACTGCAAACAAGATAACAAGCGATGCAGAGGCAAAGGTTGCGAGTTACCTTGTTCAATAAGTCGATCGCCTCTTGCTTGGAAATTATACCTCTTGCAGCGCGAACAGGAAGCAGTCTGGCCAGTGCTTCCCCTGCATTTCCCCTCAGTTTGGGTGCTCTCTCTGTGTCCGCTTGTTCCACTTGAGATGTAGCATTATTGTTGGGCTCTTGCTTTGTAATATTGTTAGTCTCTTTCTCGAGGAAGATACGTAGCAGGGCCTTGAAAAGCTTGTTAAAATCCAGTTCTTTGAAAGAACCATCGAATGCTAACTCTGTCAGGATCTCCAGGGCTTGTTCATGCAGTTTCTGGGCACCTTCACTGTCATTCTCCAAGATACCCATCAGATTGCTGACAGCTTCTGTGTTACTCGCCAGCTTCTGATGCAGCCTTGTTACGTCATCTCCAGGACCGGTAAGTAGCCTGCTCAGCACTGTGAGTGACTTGCTTAGCATTTCAACCGTTGTGTTGTCGCTCAGCTTGGTGAGGAAGTCGCCATGGCTTGCGCTTCTCATCAGTGGTGACGTGATCCTAGAGAGGAGGCTTTGGTCCTTACTTATCTCTGTACAGTTCCCTTGGTCCTGTGTGAGCCTCTCAAGAATCAGGAGGCCCTGAGAAATCAGCTCTTTGGCTCCTCTAGATTTATAGGAGCGGCGGTACTTGGATTCAGAATATTTCTTCAGCTCCTTGTCTAGTTGCCGGACCCTGATGATGGGATTATCCTCAAAGTCTTTCTTAATCTGTTTTCTTTTCCTCTTGGCGGCTAACCCGGAAGATGATGAACTGACGACGACTGCTTGTCGTTCCTCGTCAGTTTGGTCTGTGATGGTGGGCGCTACCATGTCCATGTGGGTACCATCGTCTTGATGCTCGGATGTTTCCAGTGACCCATGCTGATGATCATTTTCATCGGTAGGCAGTGTCGCCTGTTCATCAGGATTTCCCGACGGACAGGCATGCGACTTTGGTTCACAGTCACAGCTGCTAGTGCTTTCAAGTAGGGAACAAATGCACTGCAATGTACCCGGGAAGCTTGTTATATGGAGGTCACTGGCAAGGTGTGCAACAATGGTTGTGGCGCGCTCTCTGTTCTCCATGTCACCATCAGCTGCGCCTCTCCGACGACCAATCATGCCCATCAGATTCTGAATAGAGAGCCTGGAAGATAGCAGCTCCTGCCTTACAGATTTATCCTTGCCAGAGATCAGCTTGTCTAGTATCCTTGCTCCCCATCGGTGGTCATCGTCCCCAGATGCAGACTGGAGCAACTCAACGCCGTAGGTGATGAAGTTCCAATTGCCGGGCAGCTCCCCGTCCTTCCTAAACTTCCTTATTGTTTCTGAACGGTACATATCAACTAGCGTTAAACTCCATTCTTCATCTCCATATTGTTTCCTCGTCACAGCCGTGACTTCCCAAACTGACGACTCTAACATCACTTGAAGGGTACCCCAGTACAGGACGAATAGACTCTGCAACAGAGCTAGAGCATAGAAGATGTCCAGTGCGGCATTCAGTTTTGCTCTGTTGGCAACATCTCCTCCGGCGTCGCCATAATCTCGTCGTACAAGAAAATATACTTGGGTAAGTAGCAAAAGGCAGGTCAACAAAATATACTTGGGTAATAACGCCATACCCAGCATGATTCTTTGACACATGGCCGTGGCCTCATGGATCCATTTCTGACGCCTGATAAAACTCATGATTTTGTCCTCTTCCGTATAAATCCCTCTCTTAAACTCCTTGTCATAATTGTCAACCACCCTGTGGAATAGTATCAAATTTGCACTTTGGTCAGCGCGGCATACGATAGATGACAAGTACAATTGATGATATATATACACATACTTTAGCTCCCTACACACATACACATACATATACTGACGGAGCGCTGCTGTCTGCCGGTGAACTAATTACTATTTCTTAACTCCTGATATTGACTAGTACCTAGCCACGACCTTATGTTGTAGTATGCCACGCTGCAACTATGATAGTCTAATGCATTGCAGCAGTAAAACCATCAATCAACGTAGTACTAGATACTTATGGCGGGTGAACGGAATTTTTTTCTATTTAGTTTACGCCATTCACGTTCCTATCCTTCCGAGGGGCTGTTTAGTTCCACTCCAAAACGCTAAATTTTTCAAGATTCTCCGTCATATCGAATCTTTGACGCATGCATTAAGCATTAAATATAAATAAAAAATAAAACTAATTACACAGTTTAGACGAAATATACGAGACGAATCTTTTAAGCCTAATTAGACTATGATTGGACACTAATTACCAAATAACAATGAAAATGTTACAGTGTCGTTTTGCCAAATTTTTTGCCATCTAAACTGGGCCCAAATTTTGCAACAAATAAATAACTCTGACACCCTGTCTATCCGTCATTTTTCTATCCTTGTATTTTCTCTCAACTCACATCTAGATCTCCACGGCTGTGGCCTAAGGTGTAGAATAGCACTACCGCGCGCGCGTGTGTATATATATATATATATATATATATATATATATATATATATATATATATATATATATATATATATATATATATATATACTTGTGTCACTAACAAAGGAACTATTTCTCTGTACAGAATAAGTTATTCTATAGCCACTTAATTTTTAAACTAATTTACGATAAAGTGAATACATATTTACGATAGTTGTGTTACTATAACACATGGGGTTATTTACCTTAACGTTATAGTAAATCACGTAGCAAGGAGTTACTATAATCTCATAAATTAGCATAGTAATTATCGTAACTCAAAATGGCCATAGAATAAGTTATTCTATAACTAGCTGCAGAACAGTAGTTCTATACACACAAATTTACTGTTCATCAATCAATACAATCATAAGTTCCATCCATTTCTCTCGCTTTCACACGCTTGCTTTCCAACAAATAGAATTGGCACAATCACGTATTCGTCACTTACACCACTTCTTATATGGTATTAGGCTTTGTAAGGAATTAAGGTTAACATGGGAAAGTATCTCTGCGCACATCATTGTGGTTAAAGCTCTGGAATACAAGCGCTAGCATAATGTTTCTCTTAATAGTGAGGAGAAGGCCTAACAATGAGGAATAGCATCAACGTTGAATGTTGCATAGACTACTCACGCATATGCACGGTTCATCCTCGCTGTAAGTTTTCCCATGTTATTTGTTTCATTCATGGATATATCTATCTGCATGTAATATTAAAGAGCCAAAATTTCATCCTATTTTTTTCATCTCCCCCCTAACTATTAGACAGTTAAGAGTTTCTTCTGTCCCACCTTTTTTACTTCCCAAACTGTCTCGTATGTAACCCGGACTCATATGACCCGTGCTCGTATGAGTTACAACTCACGTCCATCGATGATTGATTCGAAGTCTGATTCTAAGACACGTTTGCTAGTATATAGAAAAACAAAAAATGATAAGAAAAGAAAAAGAAAAGTTGCCAGTAACATAGGCGTCGGTTCCTTTAGTTTACGTGGGTACCTTTCCGAACAAATGCACCACACCTTCTCAATTCTCATTGGTCATAAACTAAATCGATCCAGTTATGTGCCCATTAACTTTCTTCACCCGACGGCCGACACCATAAAACATGTCCGATCACTGTTGTGCTAAATAGCTTTCCCTATATATTTCCTTACATAACTTGCACTTTGAAATCTATATTAATATATATTTGAACCAATGCAATCATCAACAATTAATATAAGTTAAAATTAGTTACTCTCTAACCACCCCAGTAACGTTCGGGAAATTCAACTAAGTATATAGTAAGGTATATATGTGAGCCCCTCAATTATTTTTCATTCATATGTAACAATAATTAAGGAAACAAGATAGAAGAATTGATAGGATGTACGAGAAGAAAGGGAAAATTAAGCACAATAAGAGTGCCATACGTGCAGTGTTAAGTTCCAGAGAGGATCGGAGATGCATGGCAAAACAAGATTTGGTGCATGCATACCTGCACGCCAGTAGGAAGCTGAGTAGGGTGAGAGTCCAAAAGTCCTTCATCCCCAGAACGGCGACGAAGCCTCCGAGGAGGACGACGGTGGACCACAGCAACGCCAGCGTCCCAAGACCGCTTGTAATGTTGGCTGTGGCCGTCATAAGCCTCACGTAGCGATTGATCAGCTCTTCCGGCCTTTCGACGACGTTGTCGTCGTCGTCGTCTTCCGGTTCCAAGCCGATTAGCTTTCTCAACGCAACCGGGAAGCAACGGCAACGCCCCATCGATCAGATCAGCCGCAATGGCTGGGCTGGCTGGTTGAATCTGTCTGTACTTTAATTTGGCGATGGGGATGGTGGCTGGACTAATTTGTCTTTACTTTGGCGAAGGGGATGATGGCTGGTTCACAGCAGTGGTCTCCGACAAACAGATAGCTAGCGCGCGACGCGATGGCGCAGGGTTTCTTTAATTTGTTGGGCCGGGGCCCGGGGCACCAGACCAGACCAAACCATTACATGGAGATTCTTTGGCAGGTTGAGATTCTTCAGCCTACGCTACCGGAAACAGTGACTCTGTCGTGTGCCACAGACACTCGACAAAGATCAAAAAAACACTCGGCAAAGGATTTGCCGAGTGTAACACTAGGCAAACAGCACACGGCATCTACAGTGTCGGCAAACAGCTATTTGCCGAGTATTTTTTATCGCGCACTCGGCAAATGGTTTGCCGAGTGTCAAATTTGACACTCGACAAAAAAAGTGGTTTGCCAAGTGTTTTTCCAAAATACACTCGGCAAAGGATTATTGTTTGCCGAGTGTTTTTGGGAATTACACTCGACAAACCTATTTTTCAAAGAAAAAAATATTTTTTTTCTCAGCATACCATTATTGTTTGCCGAGTGTTTTTAGGAATTACACTCGGCAAACCTATTTTTCAAAGAAAAAAATAATTTTTTCTCAGCATTTTTCAGTTTAATAGTTGTCATACAAAACACTTTTAGTACATCATATCTGCATGCACATCATGCTCCTCGCAACATAATTCTCATAATAACCATATAAGATAGTTCTCATTAAGTCGCGCCACATAATTATCAATGATGTCATGATACATCAGACAACCATCATTACAGTCTTCATATATAATTCAGCATAGCTAAAATTGTTCATAGATCAAGTTTATTTCCAGAACAATTAGTGGATATTTGGTTATCTTTTTCTCATCTTGGCTAATATTATTGCTACAAGATCACACTGGAAGAGTGCTCTGAAACAACTACTTGCTGAGATAGTTCTACCTGTAAAGTTCTATGTAGAATTTGACATCTCTAACTCATTCAAATTGTGGATTGTGCAAGATTATGTACGTGTTACCATGAGATATGTTGGCATCACTCATCTAAATCAGGGACATGTAAATTTTGACCTCACATTATCTTGTTCTGTAGTTACCGTACCATCAACGATACAGGCAAATCATAGTGTGTTCTGTAGCACATTATAATCATAAAGATCTGTTTTGGTATGAATATGTGAGATACAAACATCAAGGTTGTGCAAAATAAATCTGAGGTATAAGAGAATGTTTCTTATATGATTCTCATGTGGAAATCAGGAAAGATACATATATGATATCTGAATCTATGAATATATTATTATTTCAGTTAAGGAATAAATCGTCAGTTCAAAGAACAAAGCAACCTTATATTAGCAATAACAAGTCAACTTGTAGTAAAGTATAAATACTGCACTGTTGGATTATATCTCATACATTGTGCACCTAAACCAGATGCAATGTAATTTTTGAGTGTGGCCACACATTACAGTTAGTGCTTCACAGTATCTAGTAATAGATGAGGCCAGTAAGTGTGTTTTGCTAAATTATCTGATTAGGTTTTCCTCTCCCACTAAATTGTCAATCCATTATCTAATCATATTTGCGGACACCAGTTATAAATCTGGTGGTATACACACAAATGAAAATCCATTATCTACTAATATTTGCATAAATGAAAATGTGTCTTATAAATTTGCAGATGAGCAGATTCAACAATTAAGCTGTACTACTAGAACTTGGAATATGTGAAATTCTCTCAACTTGGAATATCAGAGCAACAGAGTAGTGTGTTCTATCACTTGTTGACTGAAAAACAAATTTAAGATTTAGGCATTTAAACCAGAGAAAACAAAACTGCATGAGCATCAGATCCTGTACAGGTCAACAAAGAGCAAAAATGAAGTGAGAAGGACAATCTTACCATGTCAGATTCTTCTTCCTTAAGCATGTCATGTTGCATCTCTACATTTTTTCGTCAGCAATGACCTGCAAAAAATTAAGTAACAACATGATGGATATTTTGGACCTTTAATTGCAAACAGACATTTTGATAAATTAGATCAAATGATAATAGTAGTGCATACTTAGAGAGCTGTACAAAAAAAAAATCAGTTTTGTAACTCAAGTCTTCATTAACATTGTTGTACAAAGTAAAAAGCTGGAATTAGAAAGAAGCATACTCCTAAATAAAACAATTAATGTTTGTAATAGGCACAGTTCAGTGAGGAGTGAGAACAAACAAAAGTACATGTCAGTTCACCAAATGAGTGAAAAATGCAGGTGCCCAATAAAATTCAATGCCTAGATCAAATTCAATGTTCTAGAATTCTATGGGGTAGAGGAACCTAATGACAACTCTAACAAAAATTTTATATACGGACTAAAGCAATGACAGTTTTGATATTAGCAGTAACAGAGTAACCTGACATTAGCAGCAGCAGTGGGAAAATGCTGAGGCCGACCCAGGAAGCTAGCTCAAGGGAAATAGCACCAAAACCAAGTCCTTTCTCCTCTCACCTTGTGTACACACAAGCACACTTCTCAACATAATCTGATATAAGACTTTTTCCCGTACAAGTATAAACGAAGTACATGCTAGACCATACCTCCAATCTTGCAAAAAATCTGAGATCCGAACAGTTTGCTGCCATCGCCTCTGCCACCACCCACCACGAACACACTAGCGTCGTCGCGGAAGGAGAAAGGGAAAAGAAGAAGCGGCACCCGTAGCCCATACGCCGCGCGGCGGCGCCATGGCCGAGCTGCAGCACGCCACGGTGGCAGCGGTGGCCACCCGCGCCACCAGGTCCCCATCCCAGGGCGACGCCGAGGCCGCGTCCGCATCCTCGCGCTCCCTCCTCGACCAGGATCCAGTAGGTCGCGTCCCCCCACGGCGGCGACAGCGGTGACGGCGGCGGCAAGGACGGGATCCGCCCCCACCAGGTGGTGACTCCCGCCCCATGTCCGCTCCCTTCTCGCGCTCGAGGACCCTAGGCCCAGGTCCCCCACCGCCTCCGCCTCCTACTGGATCCTGGTCGCCGCAATCGCCTGCTTTGCCCTCGTTGCGCTCTTCTCTGCCCCTTCCGGGAAGTCAATGGAAGGGATAAGTCACGGGTGGTGAAAAGAAATTTCTATTTTTTTATATTTATCAGGTACAACGAGTTTGCCAAGTGTCCTAGATCTGACACTCGGCAAACTCTGTTACGGGTGGTGGAAAGAATTTTTTTTATATTTATCAGGTACAACGAGTTTGCCGAGTGTCTTAGATCTGACACTCGGCAAACAAAAGAGTTTGCCGAGTGTTAGATATTAGACACTCGGCAAAGGATTTATTTATTTATTTTCTCTTTTCATGGAGGGACACGCGGTAGTGTGTTTGTCGAGTGCCGTAATTTGCCGAGTGCCGGAGTTTGCCGAGTGTTTTTCTAGTAGAATTGCCGAGTGTCAGAATGTTTGCCGAGTGTTTTTTATAAGTCACTCGGAGTTTGCCGAGTGTCAGAATCTTTGCCGACTGTTTTTAGTCTGGCACTCGGCAAAGAATATGACACTCGGCAAAGCCTTCGATTCCGGTAGTGCTAGCTAACCAGCGCACGCAGATCTACTTTACATATATAGAAGTACTAGTACATTGAGCGTGCCCTCGCGTGGCATGAATTAGCTGGTAAACCACTGAGTAAATAATATATGCTTAATCCTTGCATGGAAAGAGGATTAGGGAAATGAGGTTAATATAGTGTCACACCCGATTTTAAGGACAAAATCGTATGCACATCCCATGTATGCCAGGTTCTGTTTATTCATACATGCAATGACAAGTATAGTGATACATAGCAGTGTTTATTACAAAAACGATAACTTATTACAAAATGACCAGAGGGTCTAAGCAGAAATTACATCAAAATTCTAGCGAAGCGTGGTCTTCATCCCATGCAGTACCCGACCGGGGTACACCGACTACCTAGCATCGACACTGTCTTCAAGAAACACCGTCTTCCAGAAACTCCATCTTCTAGTCCGAAGAGCTAGGTACCAACACCACTGCAGAAGCCCCCCTTGTGCCAAACTAGAACTTGGAGGAAACTAATTAATTAGCCAGGTCCAGCCCATCCAAACCTCATGGTTGCGCTGTTAAGCTGCGTTACATGCTCCGAGAACCGATCCTTAGAATCCAAGCAGGAACGAGCACAAGCCCAAACATCCAACCACCATATCATAACACATCCATAACAATACCCACCATACCATGGCACAAACCAGCCTTAGCCAAACTTTCCATCCTACCAGATTTTTAATCACCATGTTGCTAAAAAGATATCATCTAACGAGAGTCTAACATAGGGGTATGCTAAGTCCTCGGGAAAGGGGAAGCCGACCGACAGACCCCCGACTGATCCTACAGACCGCCCAGGGGCTATACCCATCTGGTACGCTCGTGTGCACCCTATGGAACGAGTCAGGGAGAGCCCAAGCACGCTCGTGGCCGACGCTCGGGGCTCAGGGGCTCGCCAAAGACCCCGGACTGCCGAGCGATGGCAGCCAGAGCCTGACTCCAACCCAGTGCATACCCCGACCAGTGCTCGGGTGATGAACCGACGTCCCGAGCCATGGATCAGGACCAACCTTGGGAAGCTGCCAGGCATCCGATGCCTGACAGATACGGAGATGCCGCGCCGTCTACCCGTTCAACGGGCGTGAGGCCCCGTCAGCCACTCCGTCAGCAGGGTCACGCAACCGATGTGACACAACAGGACAAGAGACTCCACCAACTCCGAGGGCAAAGGTCTCTAGGGCCCACTCATCAGCCCCTCCGGACGGGGGGCTCCTTGCAGCCAAGAAAGCCTCGAGAAGGTTCACCCAGGGGAGTCCGCGCTGCAGCAGATAGCTCCCGATGGTCAAGTACCAGAATGGAGGCAGCGGCGTTAGGAGGCGGTTGTGGCTCCATCGACTC